AGGAAGGAGTCCTGTATCATGCTGTCCACCTCCTCCACCAGAATGCTGTAATCTGCCTGAAGAGCTCTGTGTCGGCTCCCGCCTCTCTGCCTCAGGCGTTTCATCATCTCTCCGTGTGCTGCCGGTTCAGACGCAGCCACTTCCAGCTGCTCCAGCTGCTCCATGGGATCCGAAGGAACATTCTGGATCCGAAGAGCTTTGAACATGGCAGGAGCAAATTTCCCGTAATGCGCAGTGGAGCAGAGCACCGTAGGGCACGATCCATCCTGCAGCCGATCGGCCACCACTTTCGCCACAGCGGTGTGCGTATCCATCAGGTATCCCGTCTGACTGTGGAGATCCTGGATGGCGGCCAAGCAGTCCTCCTCAGAGCACCAGCCGGCCTGCACCTCCTGCTGCATCCTGCCGAGGAGACGCTCAGGAAGCTGGAAGCGTTTCTGCGCATCTAAGTGAGTGAAGAGGTCTTCGACCAGGCTGCTGTTTCCTCCTGAGACATGGTGGATGAACCTCTCCAGGTTGGAGGACTTCAGGATGTCTATGGCGGGGGAGTGGGAGAGCAGCAGGGGGCGACCTGGAGGTCATACTGGCCTGGGTGATGAAGTCCGACACGACTCGGTTGTGGTTGGACGCACAGATTACTTCCTTATCGGGATGCACATTTGCTTGGCGTACAACGCTGACATGGCATTACCAAAGTTCCCAGTAGGAATACAAACATCCACAGGATCTCCAAAGTTAATCACACCATCTCTGCACAGATCCAAATAACAAGAAGAGTGATAAACAACCTGGGAGAGGAAAACAAACAATTAGTGTCAAAGCTTTTAGTAGACCAAAATCGCACTTTAAAAAGCTTAAATCACCAAAAATGTTGTGCTTTTTTTTTACCTACTCAACAACAAATTAATTAACTTTTAAAAGGGCAGTATTATGTATTTTCCAGGGACATTGTGTCATTTATACAAGAATCAAGCAACTACTACTTAAGTTTATATAAAAATTATATATATATGAAATATGATTTAGAAGAAATTTGACTTCATAATTTAAAGAAAATGGGTCTCTGTCTCTTTAAGAAACTCAAGCTCTTCCTGAAACTCCGGCTTCAGGAAACCATCACAATATTGCCGGGTTACTGGTACTGAAAATAAAAATACTTTGGCAGAGTGCAATTTCAGCTAACTGCTACTAGAAATAAAGATACCGATTAGCAGCTAATCTACTAATCAGGCGAACTGAAAATAACAGAATCAACTTAAAGACTTTTCCAAACCGCCCAGGAACTTTGAGTTGGATTTGAGTTTTTGGAGAACATTAACACACCTGAGGTAATAGTCGTGCCCAGTTGATGGAGTTAGCGGTGCTGAGGACGGTGCCGTACTCCACAGCGAGATGCCCGGTCAGCCCCGACTCACCAAACATCCTCTTTATGCTTCTGACAGAAGTCAAAGTCTGACAGGACACTGACTGCTCTGGCGTTCCCTTCCCTGAAGCTCGTCATCTGCAGCTTCTGGACTTCACTCACTCCTTCTTCTGGGAAAAAAAACACCAACACGCCTGTTCGGTGTCGTCGCGCCCAGTCGGCTGAAGCCGCTCAGGACGGCGCTGCCTGTGTCCCCGGACGTGGCGACCAGATGAGGAAGTTACACATTGGTGGGAGGCAGTGGACGAAGAGTTGGGGCATCAGCTGCAAGGCGAGGTCTTTAAACGAGGCAGTTGGACCGTGGAAGAGCTCTTGGATGTATTGATTTTGAACAAGATGCTTCACAGGAGCAACTCTGTCACTGGAAAAATTGTCTCCATATGCTTTAAACACCATACTCCTGAGGTCCAGAGGAGAGACGTCAAGTGGGTGGATGCACTTCTCCAGCAAAACCGAAGCTCTCTCTGGGTATGACATGGAAATTAATCTGAGCCATTCGCCTTTAGGAACGACTGGAAAGCCTTTTTTGGGAACATAAAGACTCCATCTGCAGCCAGGCCCTCTATAACCACATCACTGAAATACGTTTTTTGATTGGGTGATTCTGAGCCGCCACTCCGGGTTGAAACATAAGTCTCCTCATCGTGTTCCAGATATCTCTCCACTGCCTTCAAAACCTTCTCTGCCACTTCCTCCACTGTGTATCCCATTCCACAAAACACCCTCACATCCAGCCATTTCTCATAGAACTGCTTCCTGTACAGTAAAATATCTCTCATGGACCCCCGTCTTCTTGGCCCACTATCCGGTTAACCTTCATCCTGCCGAGTCTCTCCATGATGTCCCGGCTGTCCACGTCCAGGTAAACCACAACCCCGTTCTGCTTCAGGAGCTGCATAGTCTCGCCATGAAGGGGATTGGAGCCAGTCAGGGAGATGATGCATCCAGATACAGAGAAGTTACTCAAAGTCTCACCTTCCTCCTCCAGGAAACGTCTTCCTCCAACCTCCGCTAGCTTGGCTGCAACCGGCATCTACCATGCCGGCTCTAAGACATCATCATCGACGTCTACGGCGGGCAGGCCCAGTTTGTTGGCCACAATTTTCCCAACTGTTGTCTTTCCTGCTCCGGTGGACCCATCAGCAGAATGTTTTTGCCCCCCAGTGGAGAGGATTTTGTGGAAACCATGACGTTGATGTGGAAAGTTGCACAGACGGCATCTTACGGTCCTCGAGGAAAGCTGAATGGCGCTGAGTAATCCCATTCAGGAAAGCAGACGGAGCAGCTGCTTTTCCCTCTGCAAAGACACAGACATCAGGGAGATGAAAATACAGAATATGCATTGAGACACAACACAAATATCAAATATTAATGATCAACCTTTAACCAGAAAAAACTGTGGACTTCTTTTTCTTTTTAAAAGTGACTGTTATGCTTAATTGAACAAGTTATCGTCTTTGGTCGATCCAAAACAATTTTTGTACCAAATCATTCTTCATAGTGAGATTTTAAACCTGCTGAGTTCTGTCTATTTGGGTCTCTTGTTACTTTAAATCCAAATAAGTTGTGCTGGCCACAACCCCAAACTCAACTTTTACTCTCACATGAAAATGGCTGCAAACGGATTACACAGCCGCAGATCTTTGAAAGGCAGAAGTGGAGCCTCCTGCACAACCAACGTAGTTGCAGCAAGTGGTTTATAAATGGCAAGTCGGCAACAAAACACTTGACTTTTCCAGCAGCCATTGTAAAACACATAAAGAGTAATAAAACAAGCTGACAAAATTGGCTCGAACTCAGCTTGAGTTGCTTGGTGACGGGGCTGCGCTTTGCTGGGGTTTCTAGGCAACGTACAGTACCCATGGGAAGTATTTAACAACTGGAGGTTTTGTGAACAGCTCATTTTCCAGACACCAAAACATCTAGTTTTTTTTAAGCACTTTGGCTGTTTTAAGAAGCAATTGAGACCCAAATGAAAGTTTAAAAACGTGCAAAATGTGAATTTTGACTAAGTTCCCTTTGAATGGAAGGTACGAGAAAGGACGTTAGAGGAGCAACCATTCCCTTGTATCTTTACAAATAGTTTGATGTACATCTTGTGGATGACTAGTAGCTGTTGCCCCAAGATAAGCATGTGAAATGGAGAAATAAGATAACAGGGAGATGCATCTTACACTGACTTTAAAGGTCTCAGTTAGCATGATCAATGTTGAGGAAAATATAAAGGAAAAAAAACTTTTGGGAATAGCATCTAACAAAACGCCGAAAATGAATGACTTTTTGTTCACACAATCCAGGTTATCCAACAGTTCATCCATAAGCACAGTTTTAAATATATATACATGCATATTATAGAGTAAGAATAAGACTTTTCAGCCTGATAAATAAATGAAACAGGTGTACTTAATAAATTAGATCGGAAGAAGTAAAAAAAATGTCGGCCGTGTATTTGGATAAACAAAAAGTATATTGTGCATTTTTCTAATCAGTCTTTTATAATACTTTGTTAAATGGTTGTCTACAATAGTAGAGAAGAAAACTCGTTTTGAGAAGCTTCCTGCTCAGAAAACTGACTGAATTGGACTTCAGGGTACATTATTAAAAGGTTATCAATGTTGTTTTAAACTGTTTCAAAAGGCTCTATAAATTATACACCTTCTCAGAAAAATACTCACGAAAATGTGTATTATGCGTTTTTTCGCTCTTTGACCGAGATAATGATTTATTTACGCAACTGTGTCTGTATTTGCTCACCGTTGTCAGCCTTCCTCTGTGAACTACGGCAGCCCGTACGGACAAAATTACTCCAAATCTGCTCGGATCTTTATAAAATTGTTTTATATTAAATGATTCTCAAATGGTTTGACATATTAGCTCTAACTACAGGTAAATCTTATATTTTTTTAAGGTTTAAAAGAATAGGTAAACAGTTCAGAAAAACTTAAATAGGCATGTTTGGTTTCAGTTTATCGCGATGTTGGGGGAAAAAATTGTTCTTAAGACAGATATCCAGCATTATTAAAAATTTTTCAAGAAACAGAGATATTAAACAATGGAATGAAGAAATGCTAAATTTGAAGATGTTTGGATATTAATATTAAAAGTATGAATGATAAATTAGAAGTAATTACCATGAAGTGTTTTCTTATAAAAATGTGACTAAAACAAATAATAAGTAGTGACAACATTTGTATTTCTCCTGCGCAATCTTGCAACAGTTTTGACAAGTCTGACCTCCACAGTATGGCGGCGTCATTGACGTGCAGAAGCGCTTAGACACGTTACGTCAAAACAGGAAGAATAATTTGCTGCATTCAAGTTCACGTGAAAAGCTCGAAATCTAGGGCTTTCGTAACAAAGGCGGCAGAAGTTTGACAAAAGTAACGGTTGGATTAGCAATTTTTCGACAGCTATTATTTCTGAAAAGTCACCTTTACTTATTTAAGATAGTCAACAGTAATTTTATGTCTTGAGCGCAGTGGTTTTGTAAGTCAGGTGCTTTACGAGTGTTGCGGAATGTCACGTTTGTTGTACTGTTGCCCAGCAACGAACTGGCTAGCTGCTTTTACATTTTGAAGTAGCAACAATGTCTGAAGCCATCTACCCATCAGGATGCGTCTACGACTGGATCCCAAAGGAGCAAGAAGAAATTAAAAAACCACCAAGGTGAGCTTTATAAATCATAAACGAGTTTTAAAGAATATGTCTTTAAAAAAGCACACAATTAACTGAGGTTTGACTAGTGTAATGTATCAAATTTGATCTAAATCTCATCAAATGTGTAGGTATCCGAAATGTATTAATCACAGTTTAAAATTTGGTTTTTAATTTCCACTGATTTCCCATTTCAACCAGTTCCTGGTGTCCAACCATGGTATTGTTTTCAGCCAATGAAGCAAAAGACACATTTTTAATATCTCTACTCAACTTTAAAACCTAAGACAACAAGAGAGATTAAAATGTTATCTTATTGTTGACCTCAAATATAAAAAATGGAATTTCTCTTAAGTTGTTGGTCATTTATTTGTTTTTGTCGTTTCCTCCTCAAATATTATTGAACGTGGATTGAAGTGATTGTTTAGTGTAATATCATGTTCTGAAATCTCCATAAAGATATGTATCCAAGTTCAGGCCAGCTATAATTCTTGAGGAGAAGCTAAACAAAGATGCAAAGAAGACTATGGGACCACCAAAAGTGGAATTGCCGTCTCCGGATAAGTACCTGAAAAACACTCGAAGCAACCCAAACCACCTGAGAGTAAGTCCCTCTATCAAACTATATGATGATTTACCTTTGGGGTGTGAATCTGATGTCTCCATTTCCTTTTGGCACAGAGTCCGATGATGGACATAAGCCTCGGACCTGCACAGTGAGGAAGCCAACGGTCCCTCGGCGGACCGAGAAACCGCTGATGGGGATCCAAACCAAAAGGGATTTCCTCCAGACTACTGTCATGTTTCCATGAAGCCTAAGGCCATTTCTGTTGACACAAAGAAAGGACACAAACAGCTCCTGGAAAACTCTGGACTTGTTCCTAAATACGTTATGAAAAAGGTATTTTCTAAGAAGAGAAAAAGTATTTTGAAACTATTTTCCCTCCATATTTTCCTTCATCCTGTCTCAAAGTTTTGTTGTACTTTATGTAGAAAGCTTGGATGAGTGCTTGTATCGATAGATGTGTCTATCGATACAACTTTCTTTTATGGGTAAATCTCATTCTGTGTAAGTTTTTGTTTCTCTTCTGTGTTTAGCAACTGATGAAGAAATTGTATGGAACTAAATTGGAGCCATAAAGTTATTAAAAAGAAAAAAAAAAGATTTGAAGCTTGTCCCAAAAGTTATTACAATAAACAATAATATTGTTGTTTTGAGACAGTGTTCAATTAATATAATAATAATTGCATAATAATGTAAGAACATATTCTCAAAGATCAATAACATTTGAATTCTGATATTTATACGGTGAAACTCTGGCAACCGTAGCTGTGAGCATTTTACCCTAAACTAAAGACTTTTGTATCGACAGTGTACCTTGGAAATGCTTGAAAAGTTATTAAAATCTTATCGTGTGAAAAGCGTAAGAACCCTGATTCGGGTTTCTACCTGCAGGATTACGGTGAAGTCCCGACGTATCTGCAGCTGCGCAGTGAAGCCGAGCGGAAGGCCCGGGAGGAGGACCAGACCCTGGCGCGGGAGCAGAATGTGCTGGAGCGGCTAACGGAGGAGGATCACCAGGCCGTCCTGAAGGTACACGATTCAGGACGTGTACAGAATACTGAACATGTGGGTCGCACAGGAACATCTAAAACCTCTGCTGAACTAAACACCATTAGACTGAGGAAGCGAGAGGCATGTAAACACAGAAAATAAAGAATAAAATTATAATTTTTTATTTTTTATTTTCTCCACGTGATTCTAATACTTGTTAAACATAAATATTGCAAAAGTTTTCCAAAGCAGCTCCACAAAATCTGTGATTTTGATTAAAAAGAATTTAAAAAAAAAGAATTTGAAGACACAGCTATTATTGGTATTTTAGCAGTTTGGTAATAAAATTTATTGGTACATTTTGCCACAACCGTCCCTTTAAGGACATTCATGACCTTGATGTGACTCATCTCCTTTAAGGGCCTGAAGAAGAAGTGGGATGAACTCCACTGTGAATATCAGGGCCTTCTCCTCATCGACACGCCGTCCAAGAAAACCCGGAAGATCCGCCTGGAGGAGAAGATGAGTCAACTGGAGAAGGACATCAGCTTCTTTGAAAGGTTCAAAACCATTTTTATTTACGACGATTAGGGACGAATGGTTTTGATTGCTAAATCTCACCAGTGGAGGGAGTTGCTGTAGAAAATTGTTGTGTGTGAATTTTCAAAGTAGCTTTAACAAATTATATTGACTCCCAATATTGAGTTGAGATAACTGTGGTTACATTCACACAGCAGGGAAACCCGACCCGTATCCAACTTTTTCAGTCAGAACAGAATCAGTTTTTTTCTACTTTCATGCTTTGTAATAATTTGGATTCTGATTGTTTTCAAACTGTCTGCAGTTTGGACAGTCATGACACATTTTACTTGACGTTCATGTCATTGATGACTGTAAATTGTGATTATGAAAGAAGAAGTCAGAGCTTCATGTCGCAGTCACACCTTGGCTTTGATTATGAATCTAAACATACTTCAAAAAGCCGTTTCTGTTAGCTATGTTTTCTTTTTATGAGTTTCCTTCATGTTTCTTAATATGACTATGTGATATTCTCAGCTGTTAAAAAGACACTATTATGTAAAACCAACTTTTTTGAGCTTTAAATCATGTTAAAATGTCATTCCTTCATCAAAAACATGGATTATTGCTTTGATTCTTTCATTCATGTTTGAGAAATCCTTGAGTCCCCATAGCAACCATTCAGCTGTGTTAATCACCTGGGTGGATTTAGCCCGCCTTCGAGTTTCCACCTCATAGAGCAACCCTGTCCCACTCAGCTCCTTCAGACTAGCCAGGAGCAATTAGCAGACATCTGGTGGAAATATGTGCTGAAACTATTTCTCAGTGAAATGCTGGTAAAAACATAGCTAAAGGGCTGACAGAGGAGCCATGTTGTGATGACTTCCTAAAGGCGGAGTTTCAGAGCAGAAGCTTCTTAAAGAGACATAGGCCCAATTTCAAGTCATTAAATTACAATGTCAAATTTTTATTTATTTTTATCATATCTCATTTGACATAACTATAATTTTATAGCAACTAAAATTAACATAGTTACTTGATTGTGCTATAAAATGAAACGGAAAAGACATAAAACTGCCATTTTACAATCAATGCATGAACAGTTTTTACTCCCGTAAACAGAGTGAAGCTGCGTCACAGTTTTCTTTGCTCATGCGGGTCGGTTCGGGGATCTAAACCGTTCACACACAAGTCTCATTGTGGTTTAATTAATAGTGTGAAGGACTGCACAAAAATAACCGAATTTCAGAAAAAAAACTGAGGTGATTACCAAAACCTGCTGTGTGAATGGAGCCTCTTTATGTTTTTCACATCAAAATGTAACTTTATTTTTTCTGTGTTTGTTTTCACTTATCTTTAAATAATGGTTCTTGAAATAAACACTTATTTGTATTTAAAAGTACAAAGGCAGTGCTCTAATATACAAATATGTTGTTTTTACTTTTAGTATGAACTTGCTCTGTTGCTGATAATTTGATTCTCTGTTTTATAATTTGGATAGCCTTTATCTTCTGTCAGCATATGAAATGTTGAGAATATATTAAATTAAACCAACACTGCGACCAACGACTGTTTTAGTAATCAATTATTCTGACAGTTAATCGGCTATTCGGATTATAAAAATGGGGACACTTTGCAAATTTTTCATTAAACCACTGAAGCTTATTCCATACATTTAAAATACATTATAAAAGGCAAGTAAGCAAATATTTCAATCCTTTTTAAATAAGAATAAAGAGATTTTCTTGGTTAAAAACCCCAGCATTAATTGCTGGATCATTTGTAGGAAAGGACGCATCAACAGCTAAACAAATCTTAACTTCAGTGTAGGATTAATAAATGGATAGCAGAATATGCTAATAAACTTTTCTTTTACAAAATTTGAACCAGGTGAAGCTAAAACTCCCACTTGATGAGTTCTGGGTAGAAAGTATCTACAGACAAAGAACGTTTTTGTCTTAAATCCAAATGCTAATTTTTTTTGTCTAGTTTTGGGTTAATTATTGCTTTGAACGTTTTTTGTTTGTTTTTTTTGCTCAGCAAACAACCTTTTTTCTTTTTTCAATCCTAAATTAAGCGTTGTAAATTGAAAGAATGTATTAAAAGTAATCTTTGTCCAGAAGCCTTCTTGCAAAATTATTTTTCATTAAAACGTTATAGGAACAAGTCAAATGTGTTGTTTTGTATCTTTGAAAAAAAGATACAAATTTATTTTTAGATGAAAATAAAAGGCGAGACAACCAACCTTGTTCTCGTCTATAAATTTAATGTATTAATGCAGTTATTTTTCTGTGATTGCTAAAGCTGTGCTACACAATAAATGTACTTCACAGTTTTGTTTCCTCTACTGAAATAAAGTTGGAACAGTGGTGAAACTGAAAATATCCGCCCATTAATTTTAAAAACTGTTTTAATCTAATTCAGTTAACAGTTTGTGGTTTTGTGTTGTGATGCTCCATTCAGACTTCGCTGAAACAAAGAAAGATGCTGGCATTTCAAATAATCCGTGCTGAATGATGACAAACTCAAGAAAGAACAAAGAGTTTCCAGACGTATGCTGCGATGAATCGTGTTTATTTTCAACCCAGTGCTGCCTGGAGCCCAGAACAAAGCCTGTCGTCGTTCGTCGCCCTTTTCCGCTGAGCTCATCCAGACCTTTTAGTGACATCAGGTGACTAATCCGCCCTCATTGCCTCTGATTTTCAACTTAACTCACATCAGGAGCCACAGAACACAACGAAGAATGAATGATTGTTGCTTCAAACTGTGGAGTGGATAAAACAGGCTGCCAGGAACAAGGGAAATCCCTTCCGGAGGAAACGTGTAAGGTATCTGTCCAGAGTGGAACGTCTTTGGAGGCTTCAAGCCTAAAAATGCTGGACTGATTACTAAAACACAATTGAAGGAGTGACAAATGCGGAAATTTTTTACCTATTTGGATCTTCCTCTTGGATCAAAATATGAATTGGGAAAGCACTTATTATGATTCCCTGAGCAGGTGAGGATAGATAGTCTACAAAAACTTTCTTTACATTTTTTGTTCAATTTTCTTCAGATTTTAGTCTCCTCAGTTCAGTCTATTTTGAGCTCCTGTCTCTGTAAATCCAAATAATCTTCTGTTAGCCACGTCCCCTGTCTCAAAGATTAAACTCGTGTGACAATGGCTGCAAATAGATGCACAATAGTACAACCGTACATCTTTGAAAAGCAGAAGTGGAGCCTCCTACACAACCAACAAGAATTAAGCAAGTTGTTTCTTGATGGTAAGTCAATAACTAATCACTTGTATTTTCCAGCGTTTTTGAAATGACCCTTTTACCACACACCAAAAAACAAACATAACTTACATACATAATTTATAAGCACTTAAGACATTTTTAGAAGCAGTTGAGACCCAAATGAAAGTATAAAATGTGAATTCTGCATAATAAGTTCTCTTTAATTCTCTCTAACTACATTCCCAAAGTATCAACTTGTGGACCATTCTTAAAAAACAACTAAGCATTTAGTTATCAAGCTAAATATTTAGTGTAACTAAATATTTTCTTGCTAATTGCCTATTTAGTTTGAAACTGTTAGTTATAAATGTAGTGGTGAAAATACGACTTTGAAAAAGGAAGTCTTTAATTTTCTCCAAAATAACCCAAAGTATTTCCAATACTTTTTGACTAACTTTACAAAACAGTTTCCCATTGTTGCAATGTTATAATATAGGACTCACTCAGTAATGGAGTACAGAACATATTCACCTGTGTTGTAGAAATGATTACCAGATTTAAATATTACATCCACCCCAACGCCTGCTTGGAATCACATGAGGCTGATTAGCCAGCATAGCGCTCCTCCAAACAAAGCTTTTCTTTTACTAAATGACTTGAGCGTGATCGTGCTGCCCGTGTTGCCGGGTGCACAGGATTTCTCTGGTTAACTCTGGAAAACAAAGTTTCCTCCTCTTCGCTCAACAAACCCGTAAGTTTTAGTTATAATAGATTAGAACTGTTTCGCAATGCTTTGGAGATCATTTTAGTGAATTAAATGTGATATTCAGGAAAAAGTTTTAACTATTTTCAACTTAAGTCAAATGCATGCTTTTATCCTCTTGTCTGAACTATTCTGATGTGTTTCCTCTAAGGGTAAAAAGTCTTTTTACCACAACAACGGCTGATTTTACCACCACTGCAAATGGATGAAATGAGAGCAAAAAGAGGAATTGTGGTAGGTTATTATGCTCACTTTCCAAATGTTGTGAACTAAAAATCTATATGTTGAGTCAGAGCAGCTAGAATGTTTAATATTTAAAAAAGTTCTGATCAATAGTTTTCTGGATTTTTTTGTCAAGCCAAACAATAATTGTTTAATTATTGGGCTTGCCGTACACCACTTTAATGGAACAACTGCTTTTTGTCCATTTTAAGCAATTATTTACCTAAAAACAAGCTCCTGTTTCTTGTTGAAGTTAGTTTTGTTTAATTTGAAGTGTACTAGGATGTTTACCATAGAAACTAAGCCATTTTGTTCATGTGACTTTGTATCGCACATTGGTCAAGAGTATCCATATGTTTTCTTTTTTGATGGTCTCAGTGGCACGGATCACTTTCGGTGGGAGCTTCCAGGCGATCTGCTCTAAAACGCCACCTGAATGATTTGCCTGATTTGCAGGAAGCTGCTGTTGTACTTACTCTCTGTCTGTTCTAGATCAAAGATGACTGGCCTGGCTACAACCTGGATCTGTTCACCTACCCTGAACATTACCACGACGACATTGAGAACGTCTACATTCCCCACGGAGTCATCATGAACCGGTACGAACACATGATGTGTCGGTAATCCATCTCCTACTGTGTGGTTTTCTCCTCCTGCTAAGGATAGAGCGCCTGGCCCGGTACATCATGGAGGACTTTGAGGACAGTAAGATCATGGTGCTGTGCGTCCTGAAGGGAGGATACAAGTTCTGTGCAGATCTGGTGGAGTACATCAAGGTTCTGGGACGCAGCTCCAACCGGTACCTGGAGACCCGGGTGGAGTTTATCCGCCTGAAGAGCTACCTGGTAGGCAAACTTATGGAAACAAACTAAAAGCTAACAGCTTGTGTGTTCCTCTGGTAAAGATCTGGATAAAAACTTTAAAAAATTATCTTTTGTTGCAGAAACATAAATATTTAGAAAAATACAAACTTTGTTTGAGTAGTGTTGGTACAATTAATCGTGATTAATTGTTCATTAATCGTCAACTGATTTACTAATCGATTAATCATTAACTGGAGTATTTTACTGAAAAAAAACAACATATTCAG